TAAATAATTGCCCATGGCTTTTCATAGCCTTTTAAACGTGGCTCTACTTTGCTGGTGTGTTTCATCTGCTTCAAGTTTGCAAACCTCAATATCACGATATATTGCAGTGTTCTCAAGTATCGTGATATATTTTTGCCATATCGCCCACCATTAAGAGTTTTTCGTGAGGTCTTGTTTGCCTGATTCCACCTCAGTAATGCTGTATTACTTCCCCTCTCCACAGTTCCCCACTCTGTTGAACGGACCTCTCCCTGTGCCTCTCCCCAACCTGGACTCCTCATCCTCCTCATCATCATCTCTCCTCCTTTCCTCCAGCGCTCAGAAGTCCTGATTCCAAACCCCCTCTTCACCACTTATTATCTGCAAATACATACATACTTGCTAAAAAGTCAGCGTAGACTGAAGGTTGCACTACACCCCCTTGTGGTTAAATGTTACCACAGTAATAACCACAACCAACATTTTAATGGAAATAGCAATCTTTTTTTTCAGTCTTTCTCAATCAAAACTCAGGCTGTACACCAAATTGCTCACATGGCGTTACTTGTGCCAAAGACAGCGAAATGCCCATCAGTGGAAACAGTGAGCTCTTGGATAAAAACTCAGCCTTAGATTCTATAGCATCTTCCAAATAAGGTTTTTCTTAAGGATTTTTTTTTAAATTAGTTTTTCTTAACTGCTAGAGTGCTCAACTGTACCCAGGTAAATATAAATACATACAACGTTACAGCGATGCAAAAGTGGCTATAAACCTTGGTGCATCAACACAGATTCCTCTGTGTACATCTCCCCATGTATGAGGTCTAAAGACATTAAGTGTTGAACTCTGATTCCAGGTGTGCTCCGATTACCCCCGTAACCCCAGCTGAGTCACACCCTCGGTGCTTTTATCAGAATGTTCTCTTCTCTCTGTTCCATCTCAACTTCAACCCTGGAGCTCCTGTCGAAAGCTAAAAGAGGACACCGATTACAACTCATATTAGAGGGACCCTATTAGCCTTTTCATTTCATTTAGTTTCAATTGTTTTGGTTTTTATAATCTCTTTCTGAGGCTGTGAATCAGGTTTTCTGTTTAATTTGTCTGGTATTGTATTGTATATTAATGTATTGTATGCACTGTGCTTCAAACTACCGGCTGTGCCTTCTCTGTGTAAGAATGTGTATATGTATTATTTTCCTGCTTAAAACAAAAAATGTTTGTTTTTGTAATAGACGAAATTCCATTACCATATTGGAAAGAAAAAGCTTTGTAATAGCTTTGGTATTTTTTTTTTTTCATTAAGGAATTGAAAACAAAATGTATTCTCATATTAATTTTATATTGTTGCTTTCTAAGAAAATGTGCCTGTTAAAGTTGTTTTAAATAAAAGTAAAGCATTGAATGCTACGCATTGGCTCCCGTTATATGAATGTATTGTCGCTGTCCTAATGAAACCTCATCGCTACGTAAGTAAATTTATAGAATCCCAACAGTCACAACTTTGGCTGAAATTTTGAGTTTGTAAAGCTCTAAAATAGTTGTTAATCATATAATGCTCACATGACCAGAGCCATTTACTTGAAGGGAAGCTCTACAAAAGAAAGTCAGTAAAACTTGTTTTAATACAGCTAAAACTACCATATGTGGTACACTTAGTCTTTAAAGTCAGTTAATATTTTGGGAAAATTGTTCTGTCACATTTATATCACGCTCACAGGAGATGCACAGGAGCGAACAGTTAAAACTGTGACCAGTGGGGTGACCCATATCTCACATTTATTGTTGTAATCCTATCAATTGTTTTCTTTTATACAGCTTGATTTTCACATAGCCTGAAGTTTTAGACAGTCTAGAACATGATAACCTAACAGAGACTACATTGCTGTCAAATCATTGCTGTCTTTGTTCATATGCTTCACTGCTTATCAGGTTGATACTTTTTTTCTTTAGTAATTGTGTTTATTGATTAACCAATGCAACATTTGACTGTATCGTTTCCCACCGGTCACAACTGTGATCAAGAATAAAACTTATTTTCATTAACTTTTCCAAATTGTTTTGAAAAGGTATTTGTAGGTTGTCATGGGGCTGTTCTAAGAGGTAAAATTCATGTACTCGCATAGCTGGAAAAAAAATCGTTTTAAATTGCGCATGGTGCAAACATTAACAAATTAACGTTAACACACACTGAGGTCCATGAATATTTGGACACTGACAAAGCTATGGTTATTTTAATAGTCTACTACAGCAATCTGGAGTTAAAATTAAAGAACAAAAACAAGCTGGAAGTGCAGACTTTCAGCTTTGAGGGTATTTACATCCAAATTGGGTGAACGGTGTAGCAAATACAACCATCTTCACTGCCTTAAAAGTCTTGGGTTACTTTTGTAATATGCTTTGGGTCACTGTCCATCCGCACTGTAGAAGAAAGAATTTGGCTGTATCTGAGCAGATAACATAACCTTATACATTTCAGAATTCATCCTGCTGCTTTGGTCAGCTGTCATCATCAATAAAAAGAAGGGAACCAATTCTATTGGCAGCCATACACATCCACTATGTAACACTACCTCCACCATGCTTGACAGATGAGGTGGTATGATCTGGATCACAAGCAGTTCCTCTGTGTCTCGTTTGTCCATAAAATGTTGTTTTCAGAACTTTGCAGGCTTTTTTAGATTTTTTTTTTTATCTCAAATCTAAGTCAGTCTTGTTTTTCAGAGTTACAAATGGTTTACATCTTGTGATAAATCCTCTAAATTTACTCTGGCAAGTTTCATCTCTTGATTGTTGACTGACAGATATGCCCACCATCCTGGATTGCATTCTTTGTCTGACCAACTGTTGTGAAGTTTTCTTTAGCAGGGAAAGAACTTAGTGTTATCCACCAGTTTTTTTTTTTTCTGTGGCCTTCCAGGTCTTTTGATATTCCTGAGTTCACCAGTATATTCTCCCTTTTTAAGACTGTACCAAACACTTGATTTGGCCACATCAAACATTTTTTCTGTCTCTCTAATGTGTTTGTTTTGCAAATGCCACACCACTTGAAATCAACTCTAGACCTTTCATCTGCTTACTTGTGATATAATGAGGGAATAAAACACCTGGCCATGGAACAGCAGAGTAGCCAACTGTTATGCCTACAGCGTTCACACAATTTGGATGCATATGTACATCCAAATTAATAAAAAATATCCAAAGGTAATAACCTCAAATTAAGGCTGAACCTTTAAGCTCATATTAATTACCTAATTTCAATTCAATATGTTGTGGTATACAGCTAAAATATACCTAACTTTGTCAAGATCTAAATATTTATAGATCTGGCCGTATAAACATAAGGCACACACTGCTATATCAAAAAAGGTATCTTTTTAAAACACTTATGTATCCCATCAAATGCAATTTTGAATTTTGTGTATCGTTACACCCCTAATGTAAATGGCACTTAGCAAAAAAGTTACGTGGTTTCAACATGACAGCGATGATATACAATACTCATTTTAAATAAGAAATCAGACCCAGATTGATTCATGATCAGGCTCTCCAGTCGCTCATACATGCAAACTTTGATCATTAGACTGCTAAAAAGAGACCACAAGGTGCATTCCGTATGAAACAGACCATGTTTACTTCACTGATTAAGAGAAATAAATATCTGCAGTAGAAAGAGTTAAATGGTCAATTCAGTCGACAGCTTCAACTGCGAGTGTCAGTGTTCCACAGAGGCGAGGTTTACGATACACCAGGCATTCCATGCATCTAAACACACACACACACACACAGACGCACGCTTCTCCAGTCACAATCAACTGCAAAAAATCACAATATTAATCAACATAACTGTCAGTTCAAAAAACAACATAGTTGTCTGTTGAATCTAAAACCTCTGAAATGTTTTCTTCATGTGTACAAATGTTGGAAAAAAGGTATTGGTCCTACACAGCTGTTCTTTTTTCGTTTGTTCCTGTATGTTTCCACACTTTATCTCTTTATCTTTTTTTTTTAAAAACTCTTCTGAACAAAATCAAACACGAATGTGACACAGCTGGACTCCAACATGCCACACGGAGATACCATACCATAATTCACAGAAGAATCAAAATGTAACTTAGGAAAATTCTCTTAATACTGTTAATGAAACTAACTCGTCTTCACAAACCTCACTAAGCATGGCGTAACGAGGCTCTGTACAGTCTGATCTCCATAATATCTCACTCACTCACTCATACACACACACACACACACACACACACACACACACACACACACACACACACACACAGACCCACTCTCTCACACTCAATCCAAAGCTACAGTGGAGATCTGGTACGATTTTTGTACAGTCACTGACGATGCATTAGAATAATTAGCTCTCGAAAGAAAAAAATAATAATAAAAACATACAAGCACTTCAGTCCAAGCAGAAAGTATTTCACTGAGGAAGAGGAAAAGGAGGATGAGGATGAAAAAGCTAGGTCTTTAGTCTTTTTTTTTTTCTTTTTGCCGAGGTCACATGACTACTGCTGGTCCAGTGTTTTCGATCCCCTCTCACAGCTTGTATTTCTTTCCCCCTCTTTGCTCCACAACGTCGGTTGGAAATGTAATGGCAAGCCCAAACCCAGCCACAAATGATTCAATCACCTCCAAAACGCAGTCTTCATGTTGGAGCTTTCAAACCATCTTTCTCACCAAGACTAGCCTGGAGCAGCCCTCAGAAGAAGCATGTTCACCAGCTCCACAGCTCACTGAAAGACTGGAGGAAGGTCTTCCCTCCGAGCTTGGGGTAATTTGAAATGATAAGGTGAGGTTTGCAGATTGGAATGGAGCGGGAAGTTTCTGTACAGCTTCCACAAAATCTGTACGAACGAAGCTTCTCTACATAAAATTCACCATGCCAAAAAGGAATGCAACTGAAAATGAGGGCAAAAAAAACCAAAACCTTAAAGGCATTCCATCTCTGTAAAACCAATGCAATGACATGACATCTGCAAATATCAACACTGAGTTATTTAAGAATTCCTCGACGGCAGTACTAATGTGTCCGTGGCAACCACGAAGGTCGCCTAAGAGTGGGGAAGTTAAAAGGAGACAGTAGTCAATTAGCAGCAAAAAATAACAAGCCCACGGACCTCTTCAATAAATATACACACTCACACATATATACACACCCCTCCACACAGTCTAGTCTCCTGACCCACCCATGAGGGAAGCGGAGAGGGGTCAGGGGCATTGGTGAGTTTAATCACTGAAACTGGCTGCATGCTGGACACAGGAGGATGGGAAAGAGATGATCTGACCAGTCCCCTTCACCCACCATTCACGTCCACACACACTCTCTAAAGCGGCTGGGGGGCGGCTAGTCAGTTACTCTATACAAGACAGTCACTGAGCAAAAGCCATCATCCTGATCCACTGTGTGTGCTTGTGTGTCTGTGTGTGTGCTTGTGCGAGTGTGTTCATGAGAGTGAGTGCACGGGTGAGCAAAGCTTAGAACAGCATACTCTGTCTTCTGCTCTTGCTGTTTCCTGTAGGGACAGAAAGAAGGGCACTTAGTTGCTGTAGTCAAAAGACCAGACGTAATAAACAGTTAAACTGCTCTTCTACTGCATTGCTATGAAAACTGTCCAACTTCTACCAAAAAAAGTAAGACTTTGAGGGGCAAAAAAAACAAAAAAAAACAAAAAATAAATAATAATAATAATAATAATTCAGTCCATGACACCACCTTCTGGACAAGCAAACACACTGCAGTAGATTGTTGAGTTTGTGTCTTGTGGATATACAGGGCCCAAAAGTCTAAAACCACTAGTTAAAACGCTTTTATTTTGCTTTTTTTTCTAATACAGATTGTTCCACTACAGATCAGCATAGGTTTGAGTGAATCTCAGAATTTCTTAACATTTAGTGCTGTATGTCTCACTTTCAAAGACAGCGTACACTTGAGCAGGCATGCACTCCATGTTTGTGCAAAAGCCTCTGATGAGTAGATCAAATTCACCTGAAAGCTGTCTGAACATGAGCTTTAACAGAAGAGATAAGACTCAAAAGGCCTTAATATGGTCAATGTCATAAATTTGCTTTAATTTGAACCTTGAACACTTCATCATTTTACTTCTCAAATTTTATTTTTTTTTGTTTTACAATTTTAACAAACTACAAAACATTCTGTGTATTTCGAGGTTTAAACCAAAAAATCCCAGGGGCCATATCTGCTATCACCATGACAGCTTCAGTTAGGGCTGAATTTAAGACAATAGCTATTACAGACTAACAGTTCCTATGTTCTCAATCTTATCCTAACTCCAGATAAGATAAGACTATTACAGAAGCATCCTGACTAGACAGAATGCCCTAAGTACTGTCCTAACTTTAGGACAACCCCAATGGTGTCCTAACTTCTGTTTGATCATGTTTACTGTGACAGGCAGCATAAGTTCACTATAACTACCTTAACGGTGGTACACTGATTAATAAATAACACAGGCGCCGTCACAATATTCCTAATTTCCAGTTTATTGCACTTTAGATTTGGTCTGGATTTGGATTTTTTACATTAGGAATGGTAGCTGTCTAGCTGACAAACTTACATTTATAACATTATTTTGATTATGTTTACTTTTCAGCTGTGTGCGTATTTTCAGTTGCTTGGTAAAAGACATGACAGTTGATAGTCAACCTAGACTGAGTAGGTTAACATTTCCTAACTTGAGATAAGAAGCTGTAAGACAAGATAAAACTCATAAATTAAGATAAGATTTCCTTCTGTAGTACAAATTTGTGAAAAATCTTATCTTGACCATGTTAGATCTTAACTTAGGACAAAATGTGATCTCAGACTTTTATGAACAAATATATATACAGAGCTGTGCATCTGAGAAAATGGTATACAAAGCCATTTATCTGATCAATAAGCATTTGTTTCATTAGAATAAATACAAATAAACAAATAAGAAATCTACTGTGATTATGATATTTCCAAATCTCTCCTTGCCAAAGACCAGTTTTAGTTTTCTTTGTGATACCCTTTTGGTTGTATATTGTATTTATTTGTTTACTATTTGTACACTGTACACTGCATTTACGAAAGCACCAATTTCACCAAGACAAATTCTTTGTACATCAAAGGATATTTTGCCAATAGATGATTCCTACTGACTTTATACAGAAGGTGTCAGGTCATATTCAGGTTATACACACAAACACACAACACACACACACCTGTCTCTGGGTAGGAAGAGTTCCGATAGCCAGGGTCTCGCTGAAGCTGCACCTCTTTCAGTGTGAATATAGATATACCTGCAGGATCACAGCACATTGTATGAGTGAGGGGCTGCTGATGCTGCATATTTAATATCAGACTGTGTGTGCAGGGTGTGTGTGTGTGTGCACGTTTGTATGTGTACTGTTCACTCACTCTCAGGCAGTGTGTGCACACGCATTCCCAGACTCTTGAAGTAGGAGTGTTTCATTGAATCATCAGCAGAAATTCGTTTCTTGGACTCATACTGGGGAAAAAAGGTCAAATAAGCAATCTTGGAAGAAGGTTGCCAGGCCAGACAACAGCATAAATCAGTGATCTGAGGGTGTATGACAAAAGTGTGGGCAGTGTGTGTGGCAACAGCACTGAGAAGTTGCACTCACCCTAAGAAATGACAACAACAATTCAATTCCTTCAGTGTCCAGCCTGTGAGAGAAAAAGAAAGAACGAAAGAAAGAGAGAAAGAAGGAGAAAGAGAGAGAAAGAGAGAGAAAGAGAGAGAGAGAGCGAGAGAAACAAAACCATCAGTGGAGTGACAAATTAGAGTGGCAAATGAGAGGAAGGAAGAGGAAAGCTCAAAAATTCCACAGGATATCCTGACTTACTGGCACAAGCACACATGCACACACATAGGTCATGGTCGCTAGCAGTGTGCAGTAAAATAACCAGGAACAGGGACAAACATTTAAAGCAAAGACTCACTTATGTTTCAGGATATACTTTGCTTTGTCAAAATAAGTGGAAATCAATATTTATGTTATTAGTTTCAGGGTCATAATTTAAGACTTAAACTGCTGCCTATAATTTACTACAATTGTAAAACAATACACAATAATTGTACAAAATATTAATTGGAATTTCAAAAGCACAATGATAAACTTATTTCCACAATTTCACAATTATGATCCTTTACTCTTTTTTGTAAAGGAGAAACATGCTTGATCTCCCCCAGTCAAAATACAAGGAAACACATGCTCTACTTAAGTATGACATTTTCCTGGAAATTTTAGTGCACAATTTTTATTTATTTGCTGAGTCTAACATATCGGACAACATAAAATGTGCCATAACGTTTGCACAGTCCTCATTTTATGTTTTTAATTTCCTCAATGTGTTAAATTCGGCAAAAAACAGTGAATAAATTCAGCAAATAAAAATATATATATACACATATAAATAATTATATGTGTCTGTGTTTGTGTGTGTACATATGTATGCATGTGTGTTTTCGCTTGTAAAAACACCATATATCATTAGAATATATGCAAATAAACATAAATACAAAAAAAAATCTACACATTGCAATACTTATCAAATAAAACCACATCAGATGCTTAAGTAGAATAACAGCAGCTTAATATCCTGGAAGTCTCATTCACTTTTATTAAAAACCATATTTAACAAGTGAAGTCAATTGTTTTTTTTTTTGTTTTGTTTTTTAAACAGACAAAATAGTAAAAAACAAAACAATAAAAAAAACAACACAGAGGAAACAGAAACACAGAAAGCAAGCTGGTGTTCATGCTAGGCTGAAGGCTAACCCAAGACACCAGTCGTTCATTTCATATATCTCTCCCTACTGGTCGCTCCCTCTATAACAAACTGAAGTAACATTACCTCAGGCGGCAACTGACTTCACAGCAAGAGACAACTGTGTTTTCAGTGAAATATGACCAACATCCCAGACTCACACTAAACTGTAAGTATCGTTATCTACACTTAGTTGTGACATACAGGTTATAAAATAATATATTAAAGAAGATTTTTAACTAGTATCCCAGATAAACCAGTTTATCACCCACCACTATTTCCCATTCCGGTAAACCCCCGGTAAATCTTTTTGTCTCAACATACATACACACACACAGACACACACACAAACACACACACAAACACACACACAAACACACACACAAACACACACACAAACACACACACAAACACACACACACCTGGGAGCATGGTTGATGAAGGGCTGCGGTTTGTATTTAGGGAAGTTGTAAGATTTGAATTCCTCAATAGATGAGATTCCTGGCCAGTTGTCCTCTGTTGGTGTACCTAAGCAAGCAAACCACAGATATTTAGAACTTGCTCTTCTCATTGCTGTTTATTATGAAAATTACTCCCTTAGCAACATCCAACAATCATTGTGTTAAAGCAATATTATAAGTTGACTGATGCTAGTATTGTTATCCAATATAAAATTGAGTACAAAAAAAAAATCTTAAAATGTATAAAAAATATTTTAAAAAATCAAATAAAAAAAAAAAGTGTGTGCTGATGTTTGTGAAAAGACTACTGGCCATTGTTCTATCATTGAACAATGATGAATTGGTTTACCAGTTTTATTGGTATGACAGGAAACAACTACATGTATGTGCACTATTGAGTATGCAGGTTATACAACTGATTAAACATTTATTTATGTATAGTATTTATTTGCATGAAATGGAGTTGAGTACTAAAATGAAATAATTAAGTACCGGTTTATGCAGAAGAATGACAAGCTAGTGTGAGTTAGTCCAAGCTTAATCTGGGTCTTGCTAAGGAGTATTAAAATCTAGATCTGGCTATACTAAAACTGCAATATCTATTTAGAATATATGGTCCATATATATTTACACAAGTTATATTAATATGTGTTTGAGTTTTCAAGTTTGTTTAAACTGCTGTACATTCCAAAGTCAACATAATTTCTTTGGGTGCCTTTCTTGACTCAGCACACTTTCTCTGTGTAACTATTTGTTTTGAGCTGTGTGAGTCAGCATCAGAAGGTTGCTATTTGTTTTTAGAGCAGGTGAAAACCAACGTTCAGCTCTAAATAGCACATGACATCACCTGGCAGACGAATGTCTGTGTGTGTGTGTGGTAACGTCTGGAAGATGAAGGCTCCGTATTGCCAAAATTAGCTTCAGATACAAAGAGCCTGTATATTTTTCAGGGTGTGCTTACCAAGTAGCCTGAAGATGAGATGCAGTTCATCTTCCACTGTGGAGCCTGGAAACAGTGGCCGTCCGGCAGCCATCTCATAGAATATACACCCAACCCCCCTGTGTACATAAACAAGTGTCACATACTTGTAGCCCTTGACCACTATGCCTAAAAGTCTCTCCACTTATCACTGCACTGAGAGAAGCCTAGAGAAACTCAGTCTGAGTTGCATTATGTGACACATACACAGCCATTTGCAGAGCTGTATAACATTGCTTTTTGTTAAAAAACAACATGTGTAGTGCTGATGCAAAAGCTTGTACCCACAGCTAAACATTTGGTGCATCTGGTCTCAACTTTACCATTAGTATGAATACATATAGTTACAAAACATTTTGGAGAACCACATGATCCCACCTAAACATGCAACCTATCTGTCTCCAAAATAAGGGGCTTTTGCATTCTACAGTACACATCGCTGCTATCATATCAAAACCCTGTAAGTCAATGTAACCTTTTTTCCCCATTTAATGACAAGTGGACCTTCAGAAATCGTCCAAAGGTACACAGAATAGGATCTAATTACATTACACACATTATAGTTTAGAATGTTACTTCACTTCTCTAATAAAGATACAACTTTGGGGATACAAGCTTTTGTTATATTACCAATTACCCATCAAAGTACATTTATGCTAGCACATTTTGCACAACAGATGTCACTGCTGAGCTCACACAGACACACTCACTCACCACATGTCAATCTGTGTGGAGTACTCTGAGGATCCCAGCAGTACATCTGGAGGTCTGTACCACAAAGTCACCACCTCATTCGAGTATGTTTTAGTAGGGACAGATTTCGCCCGGGCTAGACCTGCAACACACAGGGAAAAAATTAAACAATCCAAAAACAACAACTTCGGCCTTCAAAAACAATCATGTGCACATATTCTGAGGAAAAACGACTTTCCTCTCATTCTGCTCATCTTAAGCCCTACAAGCATGCATGAACCCAGCATACCAAAGTCAGCTAGCTTGAGCTCTCCTCTCTCATTGATGAGCAAGTTCTGTGGCTTCAGGTCCCTGTGCAGAACTTTACGCCTGTGGCAGTAAGCCAACCCTCGCAAGATTTGAAACAGGAAAATCTGGAACCAAAAAAAAAAAACAAAGGGTTATTATATCAACAGTTCTTTTATGCTACAAAGACTCTTGACCAAACTCTTACCACTAGACTAACTTGTGGTGATCTTTGGGTTTGAGATAAATGAGAGATGGAGTCATATTTGTAGCATTATTAACAATGTGTACTTATAAAACATCATACTCAAATGTTAAAATGTACCCACACTGTTCTGGCAACCAGTGCACATGTGTGTATACCTTGACATTGTGCATGCTCATGATGTTCCCACAGTCATCCATGTACTGTTTCAGGTCCTTATCCTACAAAAATGGCATTTGTTAAACAAGAAAACACTATAAACCACTGTGCTTGGAAGGATATAGAGTTGAAAGTTAAGAGGCTCTCTCACCAGGTACTCGAAGACAAGGGTGAGGGATTTGTCCGTGTGGACAATGTCATGAAGAGTAACAATGTTGGCGTGTTTCAGGTCCTTCAGTAAAGACACTGAAACAGAAGGAAAGAAAAATAAGCACTCACGTGCTGTGCAGAGGCTATTTTAGCATTAGTAAAGAGTATGTACTTCGTGATCATACGCAGAGGCAAGCCATCATGGCTTACCAGGCATTAGCTAAAGGCCTGGACAAATTTAAGTGAATGAAGGGATATTTTATTATTTTATATGTGTGAAGAGACCTGTAGACCTGTCGCTGATGTTCATGTTGCAGAAAAGAGGTTTTACAATACTTTGCGTATTTTCTGTAGTTTCTGAAACATGATTTGTTACTTTTTAAAGCTTGATTTTAATGCTTGCTTAATACGTAAGCGAAGCAAAGTCTCAGTTAGCAGGCTTGCCTGTTAGCATGTGCAATACCCTCACTTTTCTCAAACTTTCACAGAAAAAGAAGGTCAGAAAGGCCAACAAGTTCTGATTCACATAAATCTGTGTATGAGTGCAGCTAGCTGTGCGTGAGAGGAAAAGGTAACCCCATCATCAGCTGACATGTCTCATAGTACAGTAGAAAACTTGAGAAAGAGAGTAAATACAAATACATTTGGACAATCTCACGTGTGTTAACCCGAACACTGACGCAAAAGAACGGAAATAACTGCTAATTAATTATTTTTCCCACTGGCCAAAAAAACACAAGTGAAAGTGAGTAAATCAAGTACCAGGAGTGACCATAAAGAAGGAAGGCTGTCTGCAGCAGGCTAACTAGCTGACTTTGTTGAGATAACAGCACAGTATTATTTATTATAACTTCTAAAATGACATATGTATGAGTAACAATGGACAATTTACATGGGGTGATATCTATACATGTTGAAAAGGTGCATAAATACAATAACAGATGAATTTAAATCTGTTAAATTGTGCTCTGCCTCCTGAAATAAACAGATCCAGTCGAATCTTCAAATGTATTTGTCAGTTTTGGCCTTTCAGAGATGATAGACTTTTTAATGCCATCACTTGTTTTCTGATTGAGATCTTAAAAATTAGTAACATGCTTGTGAGAGCTCATATTTCAAACATAACAAGCTCACAAATGCACCATGTGAAAGGTTTCTTCAAGGTGCCACGTACATTACTACAAAAGGGGGATTTTTGTCTTTGCTTAACTTCCCACAGAGTGCATAAATGAAAAAGTGAGCAATTGTACAGCATGTATAACTGGTGCATTTGTTGGCCACTGGCATGAAAACATGGGTGCTTTTGAAGTTTACATGCTACAGAGATGTAACTTGTAACTTTATTTGGTATTATAAATATGTTTATTGGCAAGTCTTCTGTTTCTGTTGAACTATGTAACATTGCCGAAGGCCTAGACATGAACTGCAAAGTTACAGACTAAGCTTCTTAAAAATTAACGGATATCATACAGAGGAAAACGGAGGAGAGATAAAAAGACTCAACAGAAAAAGCTTTCATTACCTTCTCTGATGGCTGTGCACGGCGCCCCTTCCTCGTGCTCTAATCGAATCTCTTTTAAAGCCACCAGGTTGTCTGTCAGTTTACTCCGGCCTTTGAAAACAGTGGCGTATGTCCCCTAAAAAACAAAGTAAATGTCACAGAAGGCTATGACAACAAAATTGAAAAAACATGGATAATGACTTTCATATGGAGGTCAATGACTTTATTTGCAAGAATTGTAGTTCATGAATGGATATTCAGTTCAATAACTTTATTTGCAATAACCTCAGTTTGTGGATGCAAGTTCAACAACTCCATGAGAATCTCTTACCTCTCCAAGTTTGTCCAGTTTGATGTAGGTCTCCAGTTTCCCAAAGCCAATTTCTGACTGAAGAACAAGAAAGAGAGTGAGAGTTTATCAGTAATGAGATATAGCTGCAGTTGTTGTTAAACAAGCCTGCACACTCTGAACAGACCTTATCACATCCAAACATGTGTTTAGAGTGTAGTCAATGGCTCTGATATCCTGATATCTGCAGACAATTTCACTTCCCAGACCGAGGCATTAATCATAAACACACAAGCGCACAAGCTTCCGAACAAGGAGACAGCACCAGGGGGCGCTAGAGCTCAAACATGAACAGACAAATTCTTCTATCTCTTCCTCTGTTTCTCTCTCTCTCACACACACACACACACACACACACACACACACACACACACACACACACACACACACGAGGTGGGCTGGTGGGGTGGGAACGACAGAGACGGATGACGGCCAAGAACAATGGATGCCAAGAAAACGCAGACACCAGAGTAGGGAGCCTTTCACATGCAAAACCTGCTAGGTACAGAAAAAACAGTGTGAGAGCGTGTGTTCAGGGACAACGCAGCACTAGAACATGCTGCCCTCTTTCACACTGGTGTTAACTGACTTCATGCCCAGTTGTAGTGTGTAAGCAAAAAGAAAAGAGTAGGACTCTAAATATTTCCTAAAACTACCAGTTAATAAGACTGGATATCTAACAGTCCTAATAAGTCTAATCTTTATACAGCATAGCTCAAAGGATCTTTATAAGTGTATTATCAATGTGGCCTTTGTCTTTTCTCTAGTTATAAGAACTTTATTTCTAATAAGGGTGCCCAAAAGGGTTCTTTAGAGCCACACAAAAAACACTTTTGGTTTTTTTAAGTCATGGTTCTCAAACCGGCCTTCAGAGACCCCCAGATGGTCCATATTTTTTAAATATCCTAATGTGTTAGCAGTTGATATCAAGCAACTATGGGCCTCTGAGGTTCAGTTTGAGAACCACTGCCTGAACCTTTAAAATGATGATGTTTTTGTTTTTTTAAAAGATGTGAGAGTGAAGACCATTTTTCATGTTTAAAAACATATTAATAATGTGAAACTTCTATACAAATTTAAGGCTCTCCCTTGAACCATACACCCACTTAGGAACCACTGTTTTGTTACATAATGTATCAATGCCTTTTCAACATTACAACATGATGAACAACCAAATACTCTAGCTTTCAATACTTTCAATTCAATTAGGCCTACACTACATTAGCACTGATTATAGATGTTAAGCTGTAATAATTTGAATATTTTTCTTCTAAGTCCTATAAAACCTGGGTGTTCAGATGAAGACAAGTATTTAATTTTAAATTTATTGTTCACATATCTAGCACTGTGGTATTACGCTTGGTACGCTTTGTGAAAAGAATTCGTGTGCTGGTTTTGGTTTGTCAGACCACTCCTCCTTTTTTATTCCCCACAAATCAGAATGCATCATCTCACAATACTCCATTTCAAAAAGGGTGAAGACACGGAGGCACAATAGGCAGTATGAATATTAATGAGACCGCTGGCGGCCCTCCACAGCTTTAGAGAAATTTTATTGTGAAGTACAAAGAAGAGTACAAAAACCCTGATTTCTCAGCCCTGAGACACTCTGAGGAATGCAAGTAAGCTATTTAGTATAGGTGATTTTGAAGAGGATACTAGACAAATCTGCAGGAAAATAAACATACAGGCAGATATTCTAATTTTTCAAAGACTGAAAGACTATGTAGATAAAAATCTTTGTCTATATGAAAGTCTATGTGACTTTGAAAAAACAAGCATCTGTTTAAACCAGGCATGAAAGTTGAGATATATTCCCCAGCGTTCCTCTTAGATACATCTGACATTCCTGACCCACTTACACCAGAGGTTTTCATAAGGCCATGAATATCATTATTATGGGGGCCACTGGAAGAAGCCCAACTTAGGCCACAGGCTAACTGATTTTATTCAAGTGCATGAAATTAATTTTAAAGTGAGTAATAAGTCATATCCTCCTTTTCTTTTGCAGCACTAAAACATACAACTAAAACACTAAAACATGAAAACTATCCTACAAGAGGTGCTAGTAAACATACCATTAAATGGTATTCAATAAAATGTTATGAATTAAATAATTCATTAAATTTTATCAATTAAACCTTATAATTATATCTCATGATATATTACATTACTGAGTTATTCATTCATTCTTTCATTAATTCTTTCATTCATTCATTTTATTCTTGACCATGGTATCACACAACTGCATTAGAACGTTTTTTAAATGAATATCAGTCCAATCAAATACAGACATGGGAGAGAAAAAAGCCTAAATGACAGAATCTTCTATAGCGGAAACAAGGCAACTGTGCTTAACCACATCACTCTCAGCTCTACTACTTTTCTCACTATCTCATCAATCACAGCAGATATTTGCTGCGCACAGCAAATGTCACTCATAGTTAATGAACTGCTGGTGAAAGCACTTTACAATACCAATATGTGAAGCAAAGAAAATTAAAAAACTTTTTGTATATGCATATAAATGTGTGTGTGTGTGTGTGTGTGTGTGTGTGTGTGTGTGTGTGTGTATATATATGTATACACACATATATACACACTTTAAATTAATTTAATTTGTTTATTTTAATCAAGTATCTGAGTTTGAGTTTTGTCAGAGATTTTGGTCCACAGACTGTGTGAAGCTAGCGGCTAATGAAAACTAAGGCCAGACAGTAAAGGCAGTCTTACACTAAGGGAACCTGGGGAAACTACAAACCACATGGAGAGCACCATGAAAATTAAGTGCTGCCACAAGTTAATAGATGCATGACTCATAGTCGTGCCACTGGTTTGACATAAAACCTCTCAAAAGGTGGCATGCTACATCATGACCTCTTATGTCAAATAAGAGATTTGTTCTGACAGATACTCCACAGTTTACGATATGTGGGTTGCTAAGCAACTTGCCGCTGTGCTGTGTTCAATTACAGGGAGGGGAATGGAAACCAGTAGAAAAAAAACAACTTAATAGAAACTCAGCTAACATGGAAAAGTGTGCTGCTTATCCATTGTAATACTGTTTTCTTGTTCTTTAAAAAAACTGGATAATATGTGTTCATGAGCAATTAGACTGTCAAGTGGGCTAATAAAAGTAAATCTGTAAAAAGTAAATACATTTTCTGGCACAATGCTGAGTAGTTGTGTTAATATTTTCAATGCAAAATTTTCTTCTTTTCAATTATATGGAACTCCATCATAGACAAATGGTTAAAAACAGAGACTTTCTAAGGGGAGATCCTGAGGCCTGGCCTTTTACAAGCGACACATCCACGATGTCTCAGACTAAGAAAACCAAATATAAACTGAAACTAGGAAAATACAGCAGTGAGTATACCTAGCACTTGTCAAATGAAGCTTTAAAGCCAAATTACACCATCACTTGGAGACTACACACGGAAAGTATTCATCTAAACCTGAATTGCATTGAGCCAGACCTCCATTTGCAACTTTCCTCTCTTCAGCCTGACATCAGGCACTTGAGAGTTGCCAAACAACATTAGCCATCTCCTTAACTGAATTAGGAAAGTCAGTTAAATCTTGAAGTTTCTGTGGTCAGTTGTGTGGGCCAAGAGTTACAAAAAGGTTGGTAACCCCTGGCCTCAAACACAGCAGGATTCGCTAAAGAGGAAGCCTCATTTTTTTATTTTCTACATTCAAATGTGCATTTTTCCCCCCCACAGAATTCAACAGATATTCAAACGTTGAACGTTATTTTGACAGCATTAAGAGCAGGTCAACAGAGAATTAAATAATTCTGAAGACATTTCTGATACATATACTTCCAAATTTCCATTATTACATGACCTATCCTTTGCATGTTGAGCATGATTACATGGTGTAACATTTTGCACAAGGAGGATTTTTAAACATTTCACTGAAGTCTACTGAGGTCTTTAACCTCTCTACTGCCCTTTTGGCAGCTCCGTACTTCTACTCTCAGTCTCACAACAACATATATGATGTAGCAGTTTTGCAGTAATTACTGAACAATTCATAGCAGTTAAAGGATAATAATACCTCTTTAACTCTAAGCTTAGTATTCAAGTAATCTTAATACCTGGAAAAATAACTACAGCTAAGAAGCTAAAATGAGCCAAATCATTTTGGAACAGTATGAAATTATAAAAAACAAATGCAGTCTTTCCACTGTAGCAAATGCTTGGGAACCAGTCTGAGAAGGTAGGCTGCATGTCTTTCAGTTGGTGTATATACTGTAGGATACCATGACTATGTGGTTGTAACCCAATAATGATGCTTTCAGTGTATTATAATGCACATACAGGTGCACACACCCACCCATCTGTGTGCACACACATTCACACTCACCAGAGAGGCCCTACGTGAGCGGCGGCTGAGAGGCTGGTCAAAGGGGGGACTGCTCAGCTGCAGTTTCTCCAGGTAACCATCAGGAATTCGAATATCAGCAGGTAGAGAGAGGCGCTTATTCAGGTCCTAAGCACATACAGACACACAGGTAAGAGATACTGTTTCTAAACTCTGAGTAGACTAGTGCCTACTGTAGTTTCTTCGCAAACTATAAGCATTAGTCTAGAACATTAATATCCATCAGTCGTTTTTACCACCATCTCCTTTATAACAAAAATTCGACTGAGGACTATGGCGTCATAAATACTGAACATCAATCAAAGTGACAAAATGACCTTTCAGGACCTTTCATGTTTTCAGGAACGTGTACTCCATTTTCAGGAATGTGTGCTCAATGATATCTTACATAAATATCTACTTGCAGAATCTGCAGTTACACAATCTAAACAGCAGAGGGCAAAAACTTCAACTAAAGCAACCAGCAATCACTCTTTAGTGAGATCAGCAAGAATACGTCAAGAAGTAATGCTCTGATGGAATGAACTTTATTTTAATTATCTTCATGCAGTCCTATACTGCACAAAGATAATGAATTTAGGACTTGTTAACAATCGAAGGTATGTTTGACAGTTCAGTGCACATACATGTGTGTATATCCGGCTGCTGGATACAAAAAAAAAAATTTGTGGGTAAAATTCTGATAACTGAAAACATTGGCCGATATAAATGTATATTGCTGTTTTAAATGTTAATTTTATACTCCAATAGTTGTAGTTAAACCATGTTTTACTGGCTGATTTTTAGTTCAACAATTAGCACACTTTTAAACTCAAACAGAAACGCATGGTCTTAAATTATATCTATTAAAGCCCTACACTACTACTCAAAATGCTTTTCCTATCTGGTTTGTTCACCTCTTATTGCTCTTATATTATTCTTAGCTAGTTTGAAGTGTTTTTTTTAGATTAGTGTTTTATAACATGTTATTCACATGCAAAAGGGAGACTGCACGTTCATATCCTGAATTCATAATTATCGACATGTCATCTGCGATATTTCTGACCCATACCAATAACACTGTGATTCATATAGTGATTATTTTCTATAAATTAAGCTCCAGGCCTGTTATTTAGGCCAGCAAGACCAGCATATTCACTTTTTCTGGCTTGAGGCTTGAATGCTGCCATTTATTGCCTGTAGGCTGTGGCTGTGTTGCATCTTGGGTTGCTTCTTAGGTTGCTTTTGGTTGCTTTTGATTGGTCTAACACATCTACAGGCAATACACAAGCCTCATGTTGTTATGTTAAATGTCCCCACTTAAAATGGATTATAACATTGTTGATTATAAGGGCTTCAACTAAGACCTCAGCTCTCGCAAGAGAAAATTGCAGCGTTTCATATAAAAACAATTAGTCTTTCAGGCCTAGATAATATTGAGGAAGGTAAATACCTGAGGGCAATATTACTGGGTACCTGATATATATGAGAGGGAGAGGGAGAGGGAGAGAGAGAGAGAGAGAGAGAGAGAGAGAGAGAGAGAGAGAGAGAGAGAGAGAGAGAGAGAGAGAGAGAGAGAGAGAGAGAACTCTGTGCCAAAATGGGTATATTTTTGTTGTTGTTGCAAAGCAACGTATTTATTTGTTTACACCATCTGCACTTGTCTCACTCCTCCCAAACAAAAGACATCATTTGCTGAAAAAAGCTCACCTCCATGGATATGCGCCGATGTGTCCTTGTTCGGAGACACACTCCAGTGGGTGACTGGACCTCATCCGAAGATGTTCCTGATGCCTGGTCACTCTCACCATCTGATCCCATCTTTAAATTCTCATGGACTATATCTACACATGGAAGAGATCCTGAATTACAATATTATCAAATGAACTTTTACACAAAAATCTGCTTTCAAAAGTAAGAGAAAGATGTATCTTTTTACCTCTTCTAAAGGGATTTAGGCAGTACTTGTGTTCTAAGTAAGGCTGCCAGTTGTCCACCAAATGGCTGCTTTAAGTTTAATTCCACAAGTACAGTATTATGCAAAAGACACAGACCACCCTTTCATTTGCTTAATTTCTTGTCAAAACAGCTATTACATCCTAATTATGAATTTTTCAGCACCAGAAAAAAGGTGGAAAGTATATTTAATAGAAATTTACACAATCAACAACCAAATACAATATTTTTTTCAGTATTTTTTCAGTATGTGTCCACCCTTTGCCTTATAGTTTCATTGGTTTCAGGAGGCATGCTTTCAATTAAAAAAAAGAAGTGTTTTTCCACACCACCATAGCACAGTCTTAGAAGCTGGTTGCATTTTCACGGCCCAAGTAATCCCAATAACAAATTTACACTCATCAGTCAAAACTTTACTCCACATCTCAGATGTCAAGTTTTGGTATTCTACCACAAACTTTCTTCTTTTTTTCCATTTCCTTTCCTCAGACAAAGCTTCTTAACAGCTACACACCCTTTCAGACCCATAGTGTTAAACTGTCTTCTCACAGTGGAAGAATAGCCAGAAACACTTACGGATTTTTTCAGATCTGAGAGTGGAGCTTGATTTCTCATACCTCTCAAAGATGATAACTTTATGTACTGTTTATCTGACAGTTTTGGCGGTCTACCAGATCTTGGTAGCAGTCGCATTTTGTCTATATCTGGTATTATTATTTTTTTTTAACTGTAGTTTTAGAAGCTCCTGTTTTTTTTTATTTATATTCAGCTTATTATGCCATTTTTTACATGAGAAAGAAGTTGCTTGTGTGAATGTTAGCATCTCTTTGAAGAGTAAATATCAGTAAGATGTTTGGGAGCTTTTGTTGGAAGACACAGCTGTAACTCACTGGTTTTAAGACCGGAAGGATGGAAGTAAAGAGCAGTCAAATTAAATACTGAGAGATTTTATATTATACTTAGTGCTTTGGAAGCAACTCAACAGCAATATGGTCTTCATACTGTCTTCATTTATGCCCATTACTACCAATCAATTAATTTATCAATAGTGCTTTTGGAGTTTCTCTGAGAAGTTTTACTAGCTCTGCTCTGAATAAGAAAGTGAGTGTATACATTGGGAAAAAAAAGCACGTGTACTTCCTCCCTAACCTCGCCATTTCAGTGAAAGACCTTATTCATGCCTCAGTATTACTCCAACACGTATTCAAATGTGGACATGCCTACTGCTATACAACACACGCATACACGTATGCATTCATTGCACTGTATGAGCTGTTGCTAACCGTGTCCACTCTTTTCATAATCCAGTGCACAGCTCAAATAATTACATTCATCCTGATGCTGTAACTGTCAAATAAATGATGCATTAAAACCATTAAGCTCCACTACTATTCATAGGAACATAATCTGTATAGCGGATAAGAGGGAGGATAAAACTTTCTGTGAACTTATCATGTTTGTGGACAACTGTGTTCATGTGTGTGTGTGTGGTGTTTATGTACTTAAGCCCACTCTCTTACATAAAAGTATGATCCAACTTATCGGCACTGACCAAGGACAAATTATGATGTAATCAGGGTTTTAGAATCCTAGCAACACTGTGTAACCCCCCCCCCAACACACACACACACACACACACATACATATTATAAACCAGAAGGCAGAGATTAAGAGAGGGCTAACTCTTTCAACCTGCTGTGTAGGACTGAGAGGGAATGAGTGTGGAAGAGGCAACAGCACTGCTGATGAAACGAGACAAGACAGAGTAAGGGTGGGCGATACTTGGAAGGATGACACTTCATGATCTTACCACGATATATGATACTACCACAATAATTCACTTTCCTGAGGTTTGTTAGAACAGAGACAATGCACTAGAAAGACAGTAGTGCCACACTTAAAAATGCCAACTACAAGAATCTTTCATTCAACATTTCACAACATCCAACTAAACGAGACCAGTTATGCTTTACCCAAGTTTTGTTTCTTGGTCTTACCGCCTTCACAGCTCACGTTAACGGTCACAGTGCTAATGTCTAATGCACACACAAATGCATTTAATTAGTATACCAAAACTAAAGACTTGACAGCCAAAAAAACAACAAAGCGATTCCAGCAATGAATGAAGACAGCCGTGCCATTACATAAAGGTGTCATCAGAGATGTTCTTCTTCTCAAAGGCATAAATCCCCAAAATATAGAACCACCAACACATCTCTTCTATACAAAAATCTCTTACAGAACACTACATGTATAAACATGTATTATCTTATACATGTAGTCTTGGTTACATGTAGTACATGTTGTGGGTTAGATAAGTCATGGCACTTCACATTGTGCCTACCTGTGCCTACTAATTTGCTCATTACACAAATAAAAAAACAACAGCCATGCAGTTGGTCAAATATTCTTTAAGAACAGACGATACTCAAGATATGCTTAGTTTACTGTGATACCAATATCATATCTCCCATCCCTAACTGAGAGCGAAGCCACCAGTGAGTGCTGGAGTGAAAGGTGTGGTAACCCTGGGCTGTAGTTTTATAAGGGGCTGTTCTAGGGAGAGGCCCTTTGCCCACCCCCCATGTGAAACATCCCCAGCCTTTCATCTGACTGAGGAAGTAAAGAGTGCCTAACCTCAGGGCCAACAATTACAGCATCCAGCTGCCTCTGTTCCTCTCCTATTACCCCCAGAGGGGAAGGGAGGAGACGTGAGGGGAGAGGAAAGGAAAAGAGATGACAGGAGAACAGTCCATCACCATAAAGCAAAGTGTTCAATGGGAACTGTTCGAATAACATTCATGCACAGAGTCACATCAATGAAGCCCAATTAGTGAGAAAGGGGTGAGAATACATAGGGGTGGCCTGTGACCAATTTGTTTGACGAGATGCAAGGAAAAAAAAAAACAATGATTTGTAGCGGTGAGCGATATGGTAAAAATATGGTTGTGATACTTAAAGAAATTCTAATGATACAAAACATGTCACGATATTTATTTGTTCAGACATCTGGTCAGAGAATGAAGAACCAGTAGTGCTACATTTTAAAAATGCTATCAATACTGTGAACACAATGATTTGTACTCAGTATTTGGCACTAAATCCAGTTAAACGAGACTAACTTTGCTCTCTTTATAATGAAACCTGCAGTTGGTCAGGGTTCTACTAGTACTGACGATGTCCACGATATAGTCAGAAAAGCATATTGTACTGTATTATGACATAAATTATCACGATATATTATACTAGTAATGAATAATGTTAGTGCTGAACTTTAGAATATTGAACTTTCAGTAGCCCAACATTGTATATTGAAGTCATGTCTTTAACTTTTTGGTCAAATAATTAAACAATCTTGTAGTTGTCAGCCCCTCGATTTAATACAGCTCCAGGCCATTTACTTAATATTTGCTTATGCCTGGTTCAACCTATCAGTACTGCAGTTTACAGTGCATACCGTGTATAAAACACTAAAAGGAACACTTTTTAATATCTATGTGTATCAATATAGGATTTGGATGATCCGGACTAATGACAATCATTTATCAATCATTTATCAATCAAAAAAAGTTTTCCAAAAACAGTATCCCTAATGTACATACAAAAAATGGCCTGCTTTCTAGTATAAATGGCCTACTGTACTGACTCAGGCTCATGTTGGCTTACTGAAGGTGTTAGAGGCATGACTTGTGAGTGAGGACAGGATGGATTTACAGCTGAGATTAATTCAACAGGCTGTCTTAAGCGCCTATGAGATACCATAATAAACTGCAGGAGCTCTATGCTCAGAATAGTGTCCAATCATTAACTTAGTAAAATCGCAACAAAGGAATTTTTTGGGGGGGGAACTCCCTGGATGTCATCCCCCACAAAATCTGAAGAGATGGTATGCCCCTGCTGAGAGGTAATGAGTTGCTGTGTCAAATCTCTGGAGACAACTTCAATCTTATCAAACGTCTTTCTTTCTCTCTCCTTCCTTGTATCTCTCTCTCTCTCTCTCTCTCTCTCTCACTCTTGTCGACATTCTGTCACTATCCCGTCGTCCAATGTAGTCTTTCTTTTTCTTTGCCTGTCATCTGTAAGAAGCTCCTCCTCATCCTCTTTTTGGTCTCTCTAGAAATGCAAGGCAGGCATATGACACTGCTCCACTTTCTCAAGTGCACGGAAAATACTGCAAAACTGAAAGTGGGTCAAACTCATGGCCAAACCCTGCACAAGTCAAAAACCTTCAGTCTCGCACAAGCAAACTGATATTCAACACAGGAAGAATTACACACATCTCTCTTTCAGACACACACAAACTCTGCGTCTGACGTCAACAGTGACAAATGAGAGAATGTGTGTGCATAGAAGACGGACATGTCTGGACGTGTGTGTGCCTTCGGTAAACAGGTCTGCGGGTATGGGAACCACACAACAACACGTATTACAAGCAGCAGGACGGAACTGTCAGAGCAGTGACACACACTTCCCGCTGCTTCACCTCCTAGCAACCTTCTTCTGACTCACTTCCTGCCATCATGAGCATGCTCACTCCATGCATGAACACCCAAACATGAGCCAGACAAAACATCTCTTCAGCTACTGAGGCTTTGCATTTTAACTAAAACTAAGTAGAACTTCTTATATATTTTGCTGTCTGTCTCATACTCTTTTGTCGAGTGAACTTATTTTGTATTTATTAGTTGCTTAGTTTAGCACTATTGTGTGCTTACTAAATTGCAATTTAATAGTGTACGCCACTGTGTTTTTAATTACACTATGTGTAGTCCATATCTTGGTCACTTTCACTGTGTGGGTCAGTAAACAGCTCAGGCCCTGTCTTGTACACTATATGGCCATGTGTGGTGTATGTGGACACCCCACCTAATTAGTGTTTCAGCCACATCCATTGCTAAAATCAAGCAGACAATCCCTGGTGATGTTACAGCCATCCATGGCCGGGAGTCAGAGAGCACAACTGGCCTCGCTATCTGGGTGGGTGGATGGGTAGGATGCCCCCCCTCCTTCTCCCCCCCCCATTACTCAGTGAGATGCTAGTCAGCGCAGGCGTCTGTTAGCTGACGTAACAGAACTGGCAGTCAGCGCTTTCCTCCGAGCGCATTCAGCTGTCCAATGACGTTGCGTGAGCGGCAGTTCGAAAAGATGCGGTGGTTGGCTTCGCAGGTCTCGGAGGAAGCCTGTGCTGGCCTTCGCCCTCTTAGCGCTGGTTTTATCGCATGATTGGGTTTAGTCCTAACTAGTGGGTAGAACTGGAGACAAACTGGGGAGAAAACTGGCCCAAAAAAAAATAAAAAATTAAGCCATGTAATCTCCATAAACAAACCTAGGCAGTAAAATGGTTCACACTGCAGAGCTCAGTGACTTTAAACATGGCCTTTGCCACAAGTCAGTCTGTGAAGCTTCTGCCCTGGTAGATGTGTCCCAGTCAACTGTAAGTGCTATTACTGTGAAAAAGAAGCGTCTAGGAGCAACAACAGCTCAGCCACAAAGTGGTACACCACGCAAACTCACAAAGCAGGAACAGAGAGTGTTGAAACACATAGCGCATAAAAATCATCCATCCTCTGTTGCATCACTCAGTACAGAGTTCCAAATCGCCTCTGGAAGCAACATCAGAACAAGAACTGTGTATCAGAAGCTTTATTAGCTTTATGAAAAGGAGCTTTATGAAATGGGTGATGCAGCTGACCGAGCAGCTTCACTATCTGTCAGTCTGATGGCGAATACCAGGAGAACGCTACAAACAGGAATACACAGCGTCCATGGTAAAGTTTGGAGGAGGGAGCATAGTCTGGTGCTGTTTTTCAGGGTTTGAGCTGTGCTCCTTAGTTCCAGTAAGGGGTAACACTAATGCTACAGCATACAAAGACATTTTAGAAAATCACATACTTCCAACTTTGCGGCAACAGTTTGGGGAAGGCCTTTTCTTGTTCCAGCATAACTGTGCCCCTGTGCACAAAGTAAGGTCTATTAAGACATGGTTTTAAGGCTTGGTGTGGAGGAACTCAATCTCACTGAACATCTCATGACCTCAACCTCACTGAACAACTTTGGGATGAACTGGAAAATCGACTGGAAGCCCAGCCTTGTCCAACATCAGTGCCTGACCTCATATTGCTCATATAGGTGGCAAGGTCAGTTTTCTTTTGGCCACAGAGTGTATGTTGCAGCATGCCGCTGGTGAAACATTATTTTGTTCCACTGTATACTATACGTACAGGGCTGAGCAAAACAGTACTGAACAAAAGACTTACACCATTTGAGAAAAAAAAATATACAGGGTCATTTTCTTGCTGCATGACCCATGTTTTCTTGAGTTTCAGCTCATGAACAGATGTCCTGACATTTTCCTTTAGAATTTGCTGGTATAATTGAGAGTTCATTGTTCTATCAATGATGGCAAGCATTCCTGGCCCAGATGCAGCAAAATAGGACCAAACCATGATACTACCACCAAATTGTCTGCTTATCCTTAAGGTTCATATACTTTTGTCACTCACAGATAATTAATACTGGATCATCTTCCTCAATAAATAAATGACCAAGTCTAATATTTTTGTCCCATTTGTTTAATTTGGTTCTCTTCATCTACTTTTAGGACTTGTGTGAAAAACTGATAAAGTTTTATGTCAAATTTATGCAGAAATATTGAAAATTCCAAAGGGTTTACAAACTTTCAAGCACCACTGTATGTATGCATAAAAAGTAAAAAAAATGTATCAAATAAAAAGTGATACTGGCAGACCAAAAACACATCATACAGAATCCACCCACTACAGCTGGGCAACATGGCCAAAAATGTTATCGCAATAAACAAAATTCATATTGTTCGATATCAACATCAAATCATTATTTCTTTTAAGTTTGATGGCTGATTGTTGCTCCTGAGTGGTTAATTGCTGTTTTAAACTATCCTTTATGGACAGAACATGACAAACACTTGCCAAACAGTGGAACATTTCACAAATCCATCATGGGAGAGTGGGAGAAAGTTTCTGGTGAGCTGTTTTTATCAGCTGGAAAAGCACGGCCGCAGTTTTTGTAATAGTCATAATATAAGAAAGAAAACAGATTATTTTAGCTGTCTGGTGGCGAGTGCTAGGCTATCCTGTTACAAATGCTAAACAAGTGGCCAATAACAGTTTGTAAACTGTTTAGTTTCTCAACCACGTCAACTTAGTACGAAGAGCAAACATTAGCTGACTTGGTAGGTCAGTGATGGATCACACCGCCTTACTGCCTTCACTCCTACCACATCCATGTCAGAGCATATCACAGTATTCAGACGCCAGCTAGCAGACAACTGGGTTTCTCTATAGTAATTTGAGGGGTGGACCGCAATATATCTAACACCAGACAGAGTCCTCCTTTTAGGTACGTTTAAACTGAAAGCGGTGCTTTTGTGTCTTGTTTGATCTACAGTATCATCATTTTGCCATTCTGTGCGAGTGATGGAGCGCTGCTTCAAGTTAGCCAGCTGCTAGAAACAGCTAGCCTGGAAAGATAGCAGTCTACTGCTTTCCAATGCCTCAACAGCTTCCTCAGTTTACTTTAGGTTAAATCAGGGCTGCAGCTTGCATGAACCCACTTCTTTCTTTCACTTTCACTGCTTGGGAATGCACTAATACTTAAATATGACTGTTTGAGCACTGTAACAGTGCCGTAGTTGTGAGGAGCAGACGTGATTTAATGCTGCTAAAGCTTGTTAGGATGTACAGAAAGAGAGTTCACTGTAGGACAGTACAGTTACGCCACTTATCTCGTCACTCACACTCGGTCACAGAAGAACAGATCGCCGGTCGCTCCACTCAAACAGGGAATGTATAACTCCACGTTTCAGACGTTGCTGAAAGTATATTTGGCAAATCATTTTACTCATCGCCCCCTCCCCTAATCATGTCGAAAAACTCAGAAGTGCACTCTCTCCTGGCGACAGCAAAGTAGTGTCGCTTTCCTTGCAGTAGAAAATGCCACCAGGGCGTTCGCTAGCACTGAGACAGCATTGGCTCGTATTGTGAATGACCTCAGGCTTAGCACTGATGCAAAAAAAAATCCTTCTATTTTGGTCATACTGGATCTCAGCGCAGCTTTTGATACCACTGATCACAAGATTCTAATACTCTGCCTTGAATACCGGGTAGGCTTCTCAGGTACAGTTTTAGAATGCTTTAAATCATATTTAACACAGACAATTCTTGGCTTTACTGGGAAATCATTCATCAAAGACATTTACCACAGGGTTCAGTTTTAGGGCCCTTGGTCTTCTCTTTGTACATGTTACTTTTAGGTGATCTCATTAGGAAACATAAATTTTCACAGCTATGCTGATGACATGCAAATATATATTTCGATTCCTTCTGATGATCAAGACTCTGTAGACAGGCTTACCAGCTGTGTGCCAGATATTTTTCAGTGGATGTCACAAATTTTCTTAGAACTTAATAAAAAAAACTGAAATACTGATACTTGGTACTTAAACTCAGAGAAAAATGCTTTATAAGAAGTTTGGTTCTTTAGCTTCGTATACCATACCTGAAGTACGAAACCCAGGTGGAATCTTAGACTCTGAGCTCTGTTTTAACTCGCATGTAAATGCAGTAAATGTAGCTTTTTATCATTTGAGAAATATTGCTAAATTTCAGCCTCAGAACGACACAGAGAAACTTCTTAAGGCATCTGTTATAGGCACATTTGATTACTGCAATGCTCTTCTTACTAGGCCTCCTAAGATAACAATACATCCACTACAACTCGTACAAAATGCAGCAGCATGGGTCCTAACAATAAAAAAAAAAAAAGAGAGCTCATATCATTCTTGTATTGCCATGGCCTTGCGCTGACTGCACTGGCTACTTTTCTTGTTCAGAATAAAATTTAAAACTCTGCTCCTAGTTTTTAAGGCTCTAAATGACCTTAAAGCTCCCGCTTATATCACAAAATGTCTGTCTGTTTGTATTCTAACATGTGATCTTAGATCTGCAGATAGTGGCCTTCTGCAAATACCCTCTGTAAAATACAGAAAACGTGGAGAGGCATCTTTCAGTTATTATGCTTCTAAACTGAACTCAATTCCACCTATTAGTCAAGCTCAGTTCATACATCTCAAAAATAATAATATAAATATATTATTATTATTATTATTATTATTATTATTATTATTGCCATGGCCTTGTGCTGACTGACCGAGGACAAGGTCATATGATTGGCTTACCCAGTCTGCTGCCATTACGAGGCATGGCCATGAAGGAGCCCAGACTGCCGCCGATGACGCTGTGAGGCCGGCGCAGAGGAGGCTTCTTAAAGGAGCCGGTGTACTGGTGCAGGAACGAGTGCATACTGTGAGATGATGGGTGGCCGGCCATTTCTCACTATGGGCTCTGAAACAAAAAACAAGACACAATGATCAAGACACAAGCGATAAGCCACCTGCACCCTATGACATACCAGTGCTATAGTGTGAGTTTGAGTCATAATATGACAAGAAAAGTCCTTTTTTAGCTACGTGTTTGTAAGACCCTCCTTAAAAATGTGACCGTGGATCTACCGCCATGCACAGTCAGTGCACGAGTAAAAACAATTTAGTGGAATGATGTGGCCAATAATACAATTAGTCTTATGCCAAAAAGGCCAAAATCGAGTAAGGTTACTAATTTCAGACCGATATCATCAACATGTCATCTGTAAATGTATGGAGAAAATTGTGTGCAAACAATTCACTGAAACAGTGGAGTGCCGTGATCTTTGGGCCCTCAGGCGGAAGTGCATTTAAAAAGAGACACGATTCTGTTGTAGAAATCACTGCATGGGCTCTGGCAGACTTTCGAAAACCATTGTCTGTGAACACAGTTTATCACTGCATCCACAAATGCAATTTAAAACTACTATGCAAAGAAAAAAATCAAATATAAACAGGATCCAGAAATGCTGCTGCCTTCTTTGGGCCCAAGCTCATTTAAGCAGAGAAATGTCCTGTGGTCCAACTAATCAAAATATGAAATTATTTTGGAAATCATGGACACTGCGTCCTCTGCATCCTCAAGACCGCCAGGCTTGTTATCAGCACACAGTTCAAAATCCAGCATCCGGGATGGTATGGGGTGCATTAGTGCACATGGCATGGGTGACGAACATCTGTGAAGGTACCATTAATGCTAAACAACAGATACAGGTTTTGGCAACATAAGCTGCCACACAGACAACGTCTTTTTCAGGGAAGGCCTAGCTTATTTCAGCAAGACTGGCCTGTCTGCAGTCCAGGCCTGTCACCATTAAAACCATGTGGTGCATTATGAATACAACAAAGGAGACCCTGAACCGTTGAGCAGCTGAAATCCTATGTCAAGCAAGAGTGGGAATTGTGGGAACATTGCACTTTAAAAACTACAGCAACTGGTCTCCTCAGCTTACAGAGTGCTGTTAAAAGAAGAGGTGATGCAACACAGTGGTAAACATGCCCCCATCCCAAATTTTTAAACAAATTCAAAATGGGCATACATTTTTACAAAAAACAATAAAATTTCCCAGTTTCAACATGTGATATGTTGTCTTTGTACTATTTGAAATTAAATATAGGGTTTACATGATTTGCATATTTTGCATTCTATTTTTAGTTACATTTTGCACAGTGTCCCAACTTTTTTGAAAATGGACAGACAGTTATCAAGGCTGTTTTTCTGGGAAAAAATTGTGGCAGGATCCCACACCAGGGCTAGTGAGGGGGCTATACTAGGGAACCCAAAGTTAGGATGTCTCTACTTTCACATTTCACGGAGGTGGTGATGCTGAAATTGCTACATACTAGCAATCTATACTGTCAGGATGAACAGGATGAAGGTCAGCTTTCATGTGAGCATTGTATTTACATTACTAGTGCCATCACTATTGGTCTGGGTGATATCTAAAAATAATTTGCACAATGTTTTCAAGTTAAAAAAAAAAATCATGATTATCTATAATATTGCCCTCCCACCTCCACACATTCTTCAATATTATTTATTACCTTTTTTCTGAGAAATTTAGCCGTAGATCAGAAGAACTTTTTTTCCCAGGTTAGAGCTAGCTGTTCTATGGTAATATCCAGTCACTTCCGCTCAGGGTTTTTTTTTTCCTCCACTGCAGTGAATAATTTTAAGGCAAGCTGAGCTTCCAAAGCACGTCGACATTTCTTTTTAAATTCACCACTGAGTTACTCGTCCATCATCAACAATATCCGATTACACTGCCCTAACGCCCAGGCCTACATCTCTACGTAGCTATGAAGCTTTAAAAAGAACTTATGTACAGATGGATCAAGAGTATCCACTGTGCTTTACTTCGCAGTTCAGAGGAATAAAATACAAACAACATCCAAAATGCCTGGCAAAGCTGTTGCCACTTATTGCAAAATAAGTTAGTAATCCACATGTATTGCTAGAAGTGAGTGAGGAGTAAAACAGTGAGGAGTAAAACAGCATCAAATCTGTATGTAGAACAAATAAACAATTAAGGGGGGAAAAAGTCAAGGATGTAGTCCACTGTGTGTGTGTGTGTGTGTGTGTGTGTGTGTGTGTGTGTGTATTCCTGTGAACACAGAGTGACCCAGAAAGTAGATCATCTAACACACCTTTCACTTTTCATCTCCATACAAGCCAATCAACACATGGCTGTTGCTATGACAACATTACCTCAAACTACAACTGGCAGTATTTGAGAAACCTCAGCTGATTGGTACAGAACTGTCACTATGACAACCTTTCACCAATAGGAGTCAGTGTACATTAACCTATCAATCAACTCATACTAAACACATCTCTGCACACAGAATAGGAATGAATACAAATCCTGTAAACAGACGGCAGAACCAGTAGTGCAGCAGCAGCATTCTTGATGGCAAGACATCCTGGAGAGCAAAATAAGGTTCGAACATCACAATATACATCCCGTTTATAGCTGCTACTCCTTCCCCATTTTTGGTTTTCGGTATCCTGTAGGCTTTCTTCTTAAGCTTGTGTCACATTGCCAGACTCCAATCTTTATGAGCAGACTGAATCTATAGGTAATTACAGATGCTACTATCAACAAGTTGTCAGCACTTGCGTTTAACTAAAATTTTTCACATCTAATGCAGCCATTACAGGCTTTAATGAGTCTTGATTACCCTCTAAATCACCAAAATTCTCTGTTCTGTAGTAAAAGAACCCACTGTTTTCCATACTTGGCTAGGAAGACTCAGAGCTTGCATTTGAGTCTCAGAATAGATTTCTTGTTTTATTAATTTCTCTTTTAAATAATTGAAGCAGTGCAGCTTCAGTTTTAGCAAGAATCAGCTCATCTGGACAATTTCATATCATTCTGAAATAAAATGCTGTAAATGTCAAAATACAGCAAGCCATGTATTGAGTCATTCGCAATGAACCAGAAAACTGAGCTGTTGTTCAGTTGACTTTTAAAAATTGTTTTGGTTACTGTATGTAGGCCTGTCACGATCATGAAATTTTAGCTGACAATAAACAAACAGATAACCGTAAATAACAATTTAGTTGTCTTTTTTAGTTCAGTGTATTTAGGAACAAGCCTATTTGTCTTATTTGTTTAGGAACAAATATTCACATTCCTCCCTAACGGTCAATCCTTAGAAGCTTCCTACTGATGACAGAAACAGCTCCAACTTAAATAAACAAACATTACTCCTTGCCCTCTAAAGGTGATATAGCACCAGTCAGAAGTTCATAAGACTCATGTTAACATAAGACAGATTACTGTCCTTCTGGCTTACAATGTGTTGTTCATAGATATAAAGGCTCAAGGCTAAAACTCAATTTTCTGACAGCATTACAGTCTGAACAGTATTGTACTATTAAAAAATATTATAGCCTTCTGTGTGAGTGTGTGTGTCTGTGTGTCCAACACTCCCCACCTGTCTCTCCCACCTGTGCACACACTCCTGCCAACACCACCTGTGAAGCTACCCAACGCTGTTCCCCATGCCCTCCGACCTCTTATGCACATTTAAAGACTTACCGCGCTAGGCTCGTTTGGGTTTCATAAGGAGATAAAAAGCAGCTCTCTATTTTATCTATATAAAACACCAAGGCTTGTTTTCCCTCTCTCTCTCACATACGCAGCGATAACACAGACAGAAATGCAGTCTGGGGCCTGTGACAATCGTGTTCAGTCACACTAAGCAACTGTTCTCTTGAACTTGATCTACTTAACACAAAGCTGTTGAGCAGAACTGGGGAGTTATTCTTAAAATTCAATAAAATGATATTTTCCAGATACATCACAACATTCTATGATAATTAAATAAAAAACCCATGCTTCCCGAGTTCTGGTACTCGAGGCTAAAACAATGTCTTACAAACCAGATATCGTGTGACTGTATTTTGTGCTACTTAAGTTTTAATTGAGCCAAAGGGGACCTTTTCAAATGCTAATCAGAAACAAACCACATTACCAAAAAAAATTATATTTTATGTATTTATTTATACAAAAAATCATATTAAAACCATGATCTCGATTTGTTACTCAGCACAATTCGATTCAAGAGCAGCAGACTGATTCTGCTTAATGGCTGCAAGGATTACCACCACATTTCTTTCCATGAAAGCTAAGTGCTAGATCAGAAAGAGTAACCACGATGCATCTGCAAAACACCAGCCACGTAAAGCAAGCTTTTAGTGTTGCATGACGGCAGAAGGTACAAGTGGTCGCTGAGCTCAAAGCTTTAAGTTTACTAGGAGCTGAATGCCCCTAGAAGCATGCACAAAATACAGTACAATTTTTTTTATCTATGTCTCTGATTGACTGACTGACTGACTACATACGTCTACATTATACTTTAAAAAAGCTTTAGAAAAATTTTTTTACTTTTTTTCTTACTTATTTTTTGTTCACTCTTATTTGTTCTCCAATGTGAGAAAAAAAACAGGTGTAGTGACAGTCAACAGGGGTCGTATTACAGGAACTTCCTAACCTTTGGTCCTAAGTTAGGATCTGACAAGGTCAAGATAGGAATTTTCACAAATTTGTATTACAGAAGCAAATCTTTTCTTCATTTAGGAATTCTATGTTATCTTACAGATTTTTATCTCACCTAAACTACACAATCATAGTCGTCAATCAATTGTTATGTCTGTTATCAAGCAACCGCCAAAGCATGCACAGCTAAAACTTAAACGCATAATCAAAATAAGGTTAAAAATGTAGAGCATCGTTGCTCTCCAGTTTCAGTTTCCATTCCCAGGCCTTGAGTACGCAACTTTTTGCTAGGAAAGCTTTTGTATGGCTTGTTGCTAGGCAACAGAGCTCCAGTGAGAATGACACGAGCACCTTAGGCCACAAGGGCTGGTTTCATCGCTCCCTGGTGACTGCGTCCTCAGGATCTACATGCAAGGCATGATATCTATCCCAGCTTAACACACACAGACATACATTCTTACATACACGTTCAAACGTTTGTAGATGCCTGCTAAGCCAATGTTCCTTTTGAAACCACTGGTATTAAAAGGGAGTTTCTCACCCCTCCTTTCCTGCAGCACTACAATGCTACAGCCTCTACTCTTCTGAGAAGGATTTGTACCTTGTCCTAACAACAAGTGACCATCCAAATGTAGGACTGCACCATGTCACAAAGCCTTCAGTATGTTTACGCTAGAAACATTAAGCCTGTGCTTCAAATCAAAATGTAAACAAACTACTAATCTATGAGCCAACAGCTTGAGACTTCAGCTACAAACTAGGAGTGTGTCTTACCTGCAATGAATATCCATTTTTAATATTAGTATATTTTAGTGACACAGTTTACATTTCTGTAATATATTTAAATGCAATTATCTGAGGCTCATGGCTAGTGTACATATGGGCCATTGCTGTGATGATCTGATTGCATTCAGCCACAAAAGCATTAATGTGGTCAGGCTGATGTGGGCTGATTAGATCTGTGCACAAATACCACTCCAACTCATTTCAAAGGTATTGGATCAGGCTCCATCATACCACAGGACACAGTTCCACTGCTCAACAGCCCAATGCTGGAAGCTTTATAGCCCTCTTAACCGCCACTTGGCACTGGGCATGGTGACCTTAGGCTCATGTGCACCTGCTCCAGAGCATCCCAGTTTATGAGCAATGCTTTCCTGTAGAGATTTTACAAGCTGTGTGTGTCCAATTGAACACCTTTGTCAGCCATTAGTGCACTATAAAAGTACCAAAATTCACTAATCAGAAGGACGTCTTGATACTTTTGGACATCATTTTTACATGGGCTACCCACTGCATTACTGAGATAAAGAAAATGCCTTCAGTGGAGCTTTTTACAGTGGAGTGCTCAAAAATGCTATCATCCATTAGTGAAAGCTACCATGTGTAAGTTGCATCATTTCACAGGTTTCAGCAGTCATAACTAATTTCTTTAGTCCTCAGGCACAAAGCAATCACAATCTTTCAGACAAATATGTATATAAGGGCCTAAAACAATAGAAGCTTTTTGTTCCATGCACGAGTATGTGACAACAGGTGATTACTGATGCAAGCAGAGTAAGAGAAGACGACACTCTGGGAATGGATGGTTACGTAATGGCAGGGTCTTTATAAATCATTCAGCAGCCTGTTTCAAAGCACTCTGGTCAACAATATGATCACCCTACCAGAAACAGGACCAACATTCACTCATGTGCGCATGTGTGTGCACACACAGAGCATGAGTGAGTGAGTGAATGAGTGAATGAGCGTGAGAGAGAGAGAGAGAGAGAGAGAGAGAGAGAGAGAGAGAGAGAGAGAGAGAGAGAGAGAGAAAGAGAGACTGCAGTTCACAAATAAGCCCCCTGACCTCAGAGTGATTTACAGTTTGCTGTGAGCATTCTGACCATTCACACTACCAGAAGAGTGTTTCCGAGCATGTTTGGACAAATCAATTCATTCATGTAATCCAACATAAGTAAATTATTTTGGTCAAAATAATGTAGATAAATTTTTAACCATATCAATGTTAATAATACACTAGGTGTGCTTTTAAGTAATACACTAGTATGCATATAAGATGTATCGCACTCACAGTAAGTAGCAATACAACCGTAAAAGTCGAATTTTGTCCTATCTGTCCATATCTGTCTGCAGAGTGCAGATGGAGGGAACCTTATCACTCAATACAGAATCTTAGTATATTATTTTGCTACTATGAAACATGCGAGTCTTAATGTGCCAAGGACATGACTGAGAAGTCTGAAGAAGTACAGCTATGCTAACTATGATGAAGTTATGAAAAGATATTTCACAGTTCTAAATGTTACCTCGATGAGCCAATTACTAATTAACGAGTTAAGCTTTAAAAACTGAAAAATGATTCTCAATGCTCGCCCTTCAGAATGTAAAATGTATCTAAAGAAATGTATCCAGTGGTCTTTTCTGCTTTCATGTCCACAAGCTAAATTCTTTCCAAATGGTGACATTTTCCACTGCAGCCTGTTTGGCTATACTGCTCTACAGGTAAACAGCAATTCTTTATGCAAGATTAGTTGTATTAATGTGTCAATTTCGGAGAGTGTCAACTCTGTTCATTACACCTGACAAGTGTTAAAGTCAAGCCCTGAAAGCAGGTTCTTTACTTGACGTAATGCCATCGAAATCAATATATAAGTCAATTACAAGTGCAGCCTCCGATCAGTGAAAGCACACACACACACACACACACACACACACACACACACACACACAAAAAAATAACAGTCTCAAATATACTGGCAGTACAGAAGCTCCTTTTCCAAACGTTTAAATGTTAGCAGTGGCTGGCAGCTGCACGTGTCTAAACTTCCATTTGAGCCGTATCCTTCAGGAAGGTTTGAGGTAGGACATCAGCCAGCTCTCATGAATCATGCCCACTGCCAACTCACACTATGCACGCAATGCACCGGACGCTTCTCAAATCGCACCCTCCTGCACTTCCCCTCATGGGCACCATGTCAAGGCAGGGCCCCGGCATCTACTGTTTTCCACCAAAAGCTTTTCAGCAGCAGCTGATGCAGAGCAGAGATAAATAATTCAGTGTGTGTGATATGGCAAAAATACAATCTCAAGATACTTGAAGACATTTTCAAGATAAATTATATGTATTGTGGTAGTTTATATGAGAAATAGTAGGAAAAGCTAATGAAAAGTTCACTACAACATTTTTACCTAATGACCGTTCGGAAAACTATTTAAGACTGAACAATAGGGAGAAATCTAACAATTATTATAAATAAATTAATGAAATGCAATAATGGCATAATGAACTGGCATCCAATTAGCTACTTGTTACTAGGTTCAGCTGGAATTTATCTGTCCTTTTATGATGCAGTTGTTCAGTGTTCTACTAGTACGGACAATATGCATGATATACCCATAACATGCTGTCATAAATAGTAACTAACTTAGGCTATAAAGTAGAGGACAAGTTTCTTGGTGGCCCTAAGGACAGGTGGCATGAAAAAGCAGCTGTGTTTTTTTTTTGGCAGTAGCACCAAACGACTTCACAGCGTAGATAAGGTCCCACTGTTTAGTTTGAATCAGTATGTTTATTAATGGAGCCCATCAATTAAGTGTGCCTGTGGGCAGAGGAGCTAATTTAGCCCAGCTCTCAACGTCACATGCTACATACTTCACAAACTCTGCTCACAGGGCTGTGATGACTCTTATGTAATTACCAGCTGACTTGGAGAAGGAATAATAAAAGAGTGTTGAAAAAAGGGAAGAAAGAGAAATAATGTCTTCCGTTTTCCCTCCAGCCTTAATTACATGCCAGTCGCTGCTGATAAAAACAGTAACGACTCCTCTGGTTCATCATTTACCCAGGCTTGACCTCAGATGTCTCAGTCGTGCTCAGATTTTGCTGTAGTTTTCAGCTGCAATAGAATCGTAGCATACAGATTGAAAAGTCAAGCCTGTGATGAAATGTAAAGTAAAAGGATCAACACAACACAGCACAGCATTCAGACATAGTGTGAGTTAAACTGAAAAAGTAATCTAGCCCAGAATACTGATTGCACAGTTTTGGGAGTAATTAGTTATGTCACTCCAAAATTTGTGAAAATTGTGTTTTAGTCAACAAATTAAATTACATATTAAAACCAAATCTTTCAAAGAAGCGCAAAGCAGTCTGTGGCACTAACAAGAGGGGCTAAATCCAAATAAAATCAGGACCTAAAGTAATGCAATGCACCTATTTTCCCGTTAAATTAAGTCTATGCCATCGCAAAGGTACAGATAGCGTATTTCTAGGGGGAAATGCATGTTCGCTCTCTTCTTTAGGCCTTGGTCTCTGTTGTCCTGAATGAAAGTGAAATTAATGATAAAATACAGTATTTTTACAAAATTAGGTTGCTTGAATATAAACTGAAACATGTAGGGGGTTACTAGACATGCCAGTTATTCTCTATTCAAGGTAATACAACCTTTCCACATATTAAGGTTGTTTGGCTACTTTACGGGCTTGCAGAATCTGTTAATCTGTAGGACCCCCTGCTCTTGTACTATAATACAAAAAAGCACTTTTTTCCACTGCTGAGCAACTTTTCCATTGCTCTAATTCCACAAACTAATCAAAGTGCTAAAGTAGGCCATAATCTCCAGCACTTTACTCTTACAGTGACCCTGCAAATACAACATGGAGCCAACACACTCAAAGACAGATAAGCATAGATACTAAGGTGCAAATCTCTGACCCCTTAACAATTCAACTTAATATAGAAAATGATTCTTAGGTTAACCACAATTTAACAATTTAAGATATTTTGGCAAGATACCGAATTATTTTTATACCAAAAATGACATGAGTGTGACTGGAGCAACTATCTGCACAGCAATGGATTATGGATACTAAGATGTATTCATCTGATTTATAAGTTTTATATATCTATATACTTTATTGAGTATTATTAATTGGATATAACTCCAACTTTACAAAATCAGTATAGTTAAATCTCCACCTTCAGACTGATGCATCACCAAGTATGTATTTTTACATCCCTAATATATATATATATCTTACAAATCACACTCAAAATCAGCATTAACCTGCAAACATAGATTTACAGACACCCAAATACACTCACCACTGTCCTTACTGCTGTTCTCCTCTATTGTCATCTGCTCAGCGAGTTCGGAGAGGGACTCATCGATGGTCTGGCTGCCACGGAGCGTGAGCGACAAACGCCTCTTAAACCTCTTCATCTTCTCCATGGGCCTCTGAGGCAGGGGAGGCCTGCAGAGGTAAAAATGTATTATTATAGCAAGCTTAAAGCTAGACTGTGCAGTACAGAATGTTCACTGAACATAAGGATAAAACGTACATACATTAGGAAAAAAAACAAAATAAGACAAATAAAATTTCTAACTAATTAACATGGTGTTGATGCAATATTTCTGCTATGTCTTTCAAATGGCACAATAATTATATTTTACACAGTTTTATACAGTCACATTTATATACAGTCTAATTACAAAAGCATTATAATGTGCTTCACTGCTCTGTTGAGTTGTTGCAAAGCCTCCTGGGAATCTCAAATACCAGTCCTCAAAAGCAATTCATGAAACGAGCTCAGGAGAAAAAAAAAAACCCTCACCCTCACATGAATAATCAAGAGGCTTTTAATAAAACATTCATGAGAGGCAGAATGCAGCCATTATAGACACCTCAGCATGTTAATAAAACACACATGCACAAAGGCATGCACAACCACACGCTCATTCACACAGGGAAGTCCAGTAGATGTAAACAAGCGTAAATCAGTCACACAATGGAGTTAATTTTAGTGTAGGGATGCATGATGATATTGAAATCACATCAGAATCTGCAGATAATTGCTTTAAAAAATTATCAGTATGAAACAAATATTTAGATTTGACCAATATCTCACATCTATATTTGATGATGTATCAAATATTACAATGTTTAGCCGATGCTGGGCTTTTATGCTACAATGCCTGCTTTTTATTCATTTTACTGCATTTGTAACCCTACAAAAGGAAATGTTATTTGTCCGCAATGCTAATCCAGGTAGACCTATATGGCACTTGATGCGAAGCTGAAGAACAGACTTTGTAGCAGGGAGTGGACCTGGAATGGATGTCTAGTGAGGAGAGATGAATTTATTGACAATTTTTTATGAAATTGTGAAAAAACACTTAGTGAAGCATTTCACTAGAGGTGTACAGGGTACGAGGGATGAGAATCACTAGAGGCTCCATGATATATTTTCACAATATTGAGTGAGAACTTTTTTTTTTTTTTTGAGGATTTTCCCTTATTGCAGACTCATATATATATAATAATTTATTTATACAATTTATTACTTTTGGCTGTACATTGTTCCTATAAAAGCTTCATGTAATCACTGATAGAAACCTTGGGCCTAATACATTCAAATTAATATTTTGAGTATTTTTAAAAATCAACCATAGATTGGTCCTCTGACTATCAATGCTATTTTTCACCCAAAATATCACATTACTGTATTGATTTTTATCCCACCACTACGGGGTTGTAGAGAGTCACAGGGTTAAACAGGACAACTGCTGAAAGTGACTTTGAGATGGGTAAGTTAAATTGTTAATAGTAATGGAAAATAAATAAAAGGTAGGTCAACATCTCAGCACTTTAGTAAAAAGGTGACCACTCCCTCTGCTTATTTAATAAGAGGACCCTTTCTACTGAACACAGCAGCAGAGAGTGTATGTATGTGTGTGTGGTGTGTGTCTGCACAATGGGCAGAAACAGTTCTGCTGCCTCCCTGGACAAGGTGTTTCCTGCTGCCAGAAGCAGCACAGTCAGCATGGAGTTACTGAGAGAAATACGAAACACACACACGCACATCTGTAGCTAGGTGGCTCTGTTCAGGTGGAGCCTGATTTCTAGGCTCTGTTGTGTAACACAGTATGAGGCATGCACAATGGGTAACTATGTTTACCTGACTTTTTAAAAAGGAAATACACTGACATCCACGTGCCTTCAGTAAAATCATGCGGTTGCTGGACAGCAGCTTCCGGTAACGTTCATCAGAATGATGGGAAAAATATGATTCACACCATGAGAATGCAACCAGAAAAATCTGCAAAATCTGGAACTGCACAATGCACTCATGTCAACATGAAACAGAATCTGAAAGGAATGTTTCCAACATCTTGAGGAACCCATGTCATAAAGAATGGAGGCTGTTCTGAGAGCAAAGGGAAGCCCTACCGAGAACTAGCACAGCGCTCCTAATAAAGCGCTCGGCGACCGTACATATATCAACACGCACACATATACACGTACACATATACACTTGCAAAGACACACCATCTGTGTGATACAGACCTGGGGGAGGGGGCAGAGCAGCCCTCCCCAAAGACGGATTATGGAGAATTAAAGTGCTAACTGTCACCACTCCATCCAACCCAAACTCACTCACTCACTCACTCACTCACTACACACACACACACACACACACACACACAATCTCTATCCTCCAGGACCATGCTTTAGATACAGGACAGACCAGAGCCTGGACACTGACAGCACACTCACACAACCATATTAACATAGGCACAATCTGTAGCTGCCGATGGCAAGCATGTTGTCAAACAGCTGGTAGTTCAGACTGCAAGGCCAGCTGAGAGAATCCAGACACACCCTGCACACACAAACACACATATATATATATATATATATATATATATAAAGCCTGGAGCTTGTTTGATTTGAGAACAGTGGCAAATACCAGTAAGCTTAAGTAATTGACAGTCAATATTTTGTGAAAATATAGGCCGTGGAAACCACATCATATGTTTCAATTGAATGTAAATGCACTGCATTATAGCAAATTGCCTGATGCCAAAGAGTAGCATTTTAATGTCTTTAAAAAAACAAACAAAAAAAAAACAACAGGTTAGTGTTAAGGTTGTGTTTCAAATGGTGGTGAGTTGTGCCTAAATTCAGGATGAGGTGAGGTGGAAGTGGATATATTGCCTGTTCCAAGTTAGCATTAAATTAGCAAGCACGTTCACTGATGCTTAACTGACCTGCTCAAATCTGATGGAGCGAACACATGCTTTTGTGTGTGGAGCTGTTCTGTACTGTCCCCATTAGCACTACAGGCTAACATTAGCTTAGTGAGCAGGCTAAAACAGCTTCACACGTCACAACACAGGTTCAGCTCTAGTTCATGGATGCTCCACTGATGCAAGATTAGAGCATAAAGACTCAAAACTAAGAGTAAAGTTAAGTGACCAGTGTTGGAGCGACAAAAAGACAGAATGTAACCTGTTACGTGTTGTGTTGAGCTAAGTTATTAGCCTGCAAAGCAGGCACTAGCATCTCTGCTACCTGTGCTGCTCTTAGCTTGTTCAACATTTAGCTGTTCTATTTAAGATTTAACATTTATTGAAGTGAAAATTTATTGAAGCTAATTTACTAATTTATTAGGCAAAATGTAATCGTAACGCGTGTTAAGGTTTAGGGATGCTCCTATGTTATTTTTGTGGTTCCTTGGCATACCAGTAATACATTACAACTGTTTTTCTATTGTTTGGCCTTTATTAAAAACTTGATTATTATAATTAGTAGATTACTCAATTAATTGATTACACTTGCTAGCTACTGTATGGTTATAAAAAGATGCTCTTAAGTTCACATACACAAATCACTGGTGAAAATTAGAAGGTCACTCCCCAGTACACACTCACCCCAACACCCATTTCTCAAATGTCCACCTAATGAACATGGTGGGAGTGACATGTTATAGTAAGTTCAGAAAATCCAACCTCATCACTGCCCCTGCACTGTGTATTGGAGGAGTCTCTGCCACACACATACACATGCTCGTGATCCTCCCCTCATGTGATGGCAGTCTTTGATGTTGGCCTACAGGGGAATAGATATGGGCTGGTTCCATAAGCTAAACACTTTCTTCTCTGCAGGAGGCCTCATTAAAATACAAACACACACATACAAGTACACACACAAGAATATAGAACATATGAAGGCCTGCAATAAATCTAACACTGTGGAAATCTTTATTTCTTTTCTCTGCCTCTTTCTGGAAAAAACAAAAAAGCAAAGACACTCACTCACTACACTGTCTGTCCAGCCCTCTCAAACAGTCTCTCATCACTGTTGCATCGAACCCTCATAAGTCTACTTTTTTTAAACACGATTTGAAGGTGCCAGCCTCCCTTGACACTGTGTGAATGTTTTGTGATGAACAGACAAACAGAAATTGCAGACAATTTCAAAATAAAATTTAACATCCATTAAAGTTAAAAACATATTTTTATATGTTACTCTCTTAACTTGGTTCACTTCTTCAGGAGGCTAGTCACTTCTGTAGTGGACAGCGACACTGTTGGTACATTCCTGACCAGTGAGCACACAGTAGACGGGACAGTGCTGCATATTGTTTATCCACCTCCTCCATACTCCATACCCTGCCAGCCTGGCACTCTCCACTGCCCCTTAAAGCAGCTGTCCCGATGGTCAGCCTGACAGGAAAGTAGGCAGGGCAGGCTGAGAGGAGGCCGCAATGCCATCACCAGATTTACAGTGGTATTATTACCACTGTTAATACTAGCCATTACTGGCTTGCACTGTTGCGCTGTACTGCTTTAATTGTTACAAGAAAATAAAGTATGGTATAATCCAATATTTAGTATTACTCATTTTTAGCTCATGGAGAAATTCTATTGAAAGTGCAGGTTCTAAACATTCTACATATACATAAACATATCATATCTAAACAAACACATCACACTTGTGTTTCTAAGCTGAAGAGGAGATATTTTATTATGATGTGAAGTTGATGATGTTGTGCATAGTCTTGATTTATGAAAAGAAAACCATCCTTTACATTTTTAACAGACTAAGATGTTGATTTAGAATGTTTGTTGAATCTAAATATAAATCATGGCACAACTTATATGATTAAGTATGTAATTATGTAAATGTTTAAATACCATAGCAAAACCAACTGAACTAAGGGTTAAACCATGAAGAAAATTCAGAATAGGATGTGCAATTAGGCTCGTCACAAATATTACATAATCTGAAATAACTGCAAACAGGTGATCATCTCATCTGAAATGACTACAATCCACAGTTAATCCATTTCACATGCTGTAACAAACAAAATGGTGTAACTAAAAGTAGTAAATGCATTCATTACGACATTGTGTGGCTTATAAAAACAAAAAAATTCTAACTTCTAACTTGGTGTTCTAACATGTTTA